CAGAAAGTTCATTCTTTGTGATGTATATTTTATGGGTTTCAATAGATGTATAATAACATGATCCACCATTACAACATCATACAGATGTTAGAATAGTTTTACTGCTCTAAAAATCACCTGTGATCCACGCATTCATTTCTTTCTGCCCCCAACTCCTAGCAACCACTGGTCCTTTTATTATTTCCATGGTTTTGCTTTGTCCAGAATGTCATGTAGCTGGGTTCATCCAATAGGTAGCCAATTCAGATTGGCTTCTTTTTTTATGTTTCTATTTTTATATCTTTTTTAAATTAAAAAAAATTTTCAATCACAGTTGACAATATTATATTAGTTTCAGGTGTACATAGAGGAAAGCAGATCAGGGGAAGAGAATTTAATGGAAATACATGTGCAAAGATGATTATGAGCCCCAACCGGTTTGGCTCAGTGGATAGAGCGCAGGCATGCGGACTCCAGGGTCCCAGGTTCAATTCCGGTCAAGGGCATGTACCTTGGTTTCGGGCACATACCCAGTGGGGAGTGTGCAGGAGGCAGATGATCGATGTTTCTCTCTCATTGATGTTTCTAATTCTCTATCCCTCTCCCTTCCTCTCTGTAAAAAAAAATCAATAAAATATATTTAAAAAAGAGAAAGCTTAAAGATGATTATGAAATCTGGGGATATTAAATGTTACTAGGTTAATATTAATGATAATGACAGTTACTTATTGAGTATCTGTCATGTACATTGTGCTCATATGTTTCTCATTTCACACCAATCCAGCAAAGTTACTGTTATTATCTGTATTTCACAGCTGACAAAATTGTGGCCCAAACTGGGCTACATAATCTAAAAGCAGCAGCAAGCCAGCAGCAAGCTGGGATTGTAGTCCAGCCTGCCTGCCCCTAAGCCCTTGCTTCCTCCATTTGGATGCAGACTTTACCAGCACATGTACAAAGGGGTTTGTACACATGTGTTCGTGCTCATTGTAATGTTATTATAATAAAAATAATTTCCATCATTATATGTAAGTGGCTAAAATAATCTATGTTACATCTTTATATTTACTAAGGAATATAATAGAGGAGTTAAAAAGAATAGGGCAGGTTGATATGTACTAACCTAAAAAATCCCCTCCCCATACCAGTGACAGATAACATTTACAGAGTATTATGAATATGTTGGCCAAGCTAATTTAAAAAAATACAAAACACAAGATGTGATGGAGTCTACAGACGTATTCTTGTTTTTTTAATATATAAATTTTTGTTAATTTTTAAATAGAGAGAGTAAGGGAGAAGGAGAGAGAGAGAGAAAAAAAACATCGATTGGTTGCCTCCAGTACACACCCCAACTGGTGACCGAACCAGCAACGTGGGCATGTGCCCTGACTGGGAACCAAACGGAGGACCTTTTGGTGCACAGGACAACGCCCATCCAACTGAGCCACACCACCAGGGATACAAGTGTATTCTTATATAAAACTTCATCATGCTATACATTTAGAATTTGTGCAGTTGACTGCATGCAAATTAAACCTAAATCTGAAAATAGACTGTGTCTATGTTTTCATCTATATATGAAAATAGAAACCAGTCTCGAACAATACACACCCGATATTTTGGCAGTGGTTACACTGAGGAAAAGGAGACCTCTGCTTTTTCTCTACATCTTTATTGTTTAAATATTATAAAAGGAGAATGCATTAACTGGGTATCAAATCCTATATAATAAAAGCCTAATCTGCTAAGTGTCCAGTCGTCTGGTCCATATAATAAAAGCCTAATCTGCTAAGTGTCCAGTCATCTGTTCATCTGTTCAACCAATCAAAGAGTAATAAGCTAATGATATGCTAAGGCCGCTCAACCGCTGATTATGTCCTACAACCAATCAAAGAGTGGCAGACAGTCGACTGGTCGACCAGTCACTATGACATGCACTGACCACCAGGGGGCAGACGCTCTGACCAGTAGGTTAGCTTGCTGCTGGGGTCCGGTAGATCAGGACTGAGCAAGATGGGCTGGACATGCCCTGGAGCCTTCCTGTGGTCCCTCCCCAGCTGGCCAACTTCCTGTGTCCCAGCCCTGATCGTGCACCAGTGGGGTTTCTCAGCCTGGCCTGTGCCCTCTCACAATCCAGGAGCCCTCGGGGGATGTTGGGGAGCCGGTTTCAGCTTGATCCCGCTCAATGCAGGAGCTCCCCCATGGTGGTCAGTGTGCTCCTACAGGGGGAGCGCCTCTCAGCCAGAAGCTGGGTTCACAGCTGGTGAATGCAGCAGTGGTGGTGGGATCCTCTCCCACCTCCACAGCTAAGGATGTCCGACTGCTGGACATCCCCTGAGGGCTCCCAGACTGCAAGAAGGCACAGGCCAGGATTAGGGACCCCCCTGCCAAGTGCACAAATTTTGTGCACCAGGCCTCTAGTATATAAATAAAAGTGCAATATGTTTTAAGTCAACAAAATAACATCAATAAAGTATTCAATTAATAAAATAATCAAAATTAACTGACAGTAAATACACCTTGGAAGGCAACAGGTTACTAAGAACCCAGATAGAGATATAGCCACCCACCTCCCTTGGGAAGAGTTTCCTATGGAATGTGTTTTCTCTATTTTTCTCTGGAAAGAAGTTGACATTAAGTCATTGGTTAACTTCTGTATGGGGGTTTTCCTACTACCCTAATCACCATGCAGCCTGAAGGCTGCATGTAGAGGTGAGATATGAGCACCAAGCCACCCTGCGAGATGCCCCACCCAGGGAGCTGGAGCCCACAGGAGACTCAGTACTTGCTTGAAGAAGGGGCCTCACTCCTTCCCACTCTCACAGTGGCATGGGGATGATGCAGCTGCGGGAAATGAATATGCAGTACATGCATCCATGGTGGGAATTAAAAAGCAAAGGAATACTAAAGACATTCAGATTAAAAGCATTTCCTACCAAACTGGTGAAGATTTGTTTAATGTCTCTACACAATATTGGCATGGGGTGAGGGGGCAATGATGAGAGGTTAGCAGAAGCCAAGGAGGCAGAGATCTGCCAAATGCATAAGGAGTTCATCTCAAGAACAAGGGCGAGCCAGTAAGAAGCCTTAGGCAGTTGCATCACGTCTGCTGCTCCAGGGGGAATGAATGCACTGAGAGGCGAGCAGACTGGAAGTGGGTGGAGTAGCTAGGAGGCTAGTGCAGTAAGTCAGGCAAAGGAATTTGGTACCGTGAAACAGTGATAGCACCGGGGAAGGAGACAAGTGGATGATTAGAGGGATAATGAAGAGAGAGACCTGACGGGCCTTATGATTAGCATATACCCCGAGAGAGAGGACAGGGTGGTGGGAATGGTGGCACCTGTTTCAGTTGGGGTTCAATTAGGAAAGCTGGAACTTAGGAATTACGAAATAAAGAATTCAACATTGCAATTAGACCTTACATCGTTTGTAGCAGGAGCTGGGCAATTGGACATCTGGGGAGGGGAGTTGGAGGACCAGTGAAGTCCCCAACCAGTCAGTCTGAGAAGCCAAGGATGTCCAGACCACATCCAAGGATGTAGGACCACAAAGGTGAGGCTGATGCAGAAGTCTAAAGGAAGCATTTGCCTTGGTGGGTCCCAAGGCAGGCCTCTGCTGATGGATCTGGGGCAGCTGTTGGTCCGCAGGGCCTGCAGTCTGGAGGAAGAGCTGAATGCAGAGTGGAGGGAGCAAGGACAAGCTGGAACCTCTGCCTGTCGACTCTGCCTCTGTGGGTCATCTCATTGAATCATGATGGCATTCAGATGTAGTGCTCCCAGATTCCTTTCTTGGCCAACTCTAACCTGGAACCACATAGGGAAGGGTTTCTGGGAAATTTGGTTTCCAGCCTGCCCAAGCTAATGGTGGGGGAAGATTCTGGGGGAAAGGTAGTAAATTCCACTTTGGACATGTTGACTTTGAATTGACTGTGATACACCCCCATGGAGATTCCAGTAAGCGCTTGAGGTTGTCTAAATGTCTCCAATGTGCCAGAAAGCTGATTTAGGACTCCAGTTCTAGTCTAACCTGGGCTGAGAGAGTGGAAGGCAGCTCCAGATTAAGAACCTACAGACTGAAGGTATTGGCCAGGAGTGAAGGCAGGCTCAAGAAACAAGAAGTCCAGCCCTGGCCGGCTTGGCTCAGTGGATAGAGCATTAGCCTGCGGACTGAAGGGTCCCAGGTTCAATTACGGCCAAGGGCACATGCCTGGGTTGCAGGCTCGATCCCCAGTAGGGGGCGTGCAGGAGGCAGCAATCAATGATCCTTTCTCATCATTGATGTTTCTATCTCTCTGTCTTTCTCCCTTCCTCTCTGATATCAATAAGGAAATATATCAAAGAAAAAGAAAAATGTCTATAACTTTCAGGTAGGGACTTGGAACAGCAAGATGGATTGGGGCAGTCTTATAGGGAAGGTGGGAGAGATGGCCTGAGACACCCTGAGAGATATGTCAGTGGGAAGGCAATTTGTATATTAAGAAGAGCCTCTCCAGGCCAGAAGGTCAAAGTTCAATTCCTGGTCAGGGCACATGCTTGGGTTGCAGGCTGGATCCCAGCGGGGGACATGCAGGAGGCCGCCAGTCAATGATTTTCTCTCATCATTGATGTTTCTATCTCTCTCTTCCTCTCTGAAATCAATAAAAGAAAAAAGGAGGAGGAGGAGGAGGAGGAGAAGGGCCTCCTGGAATCACAACTTAGAAGAAGAAAAAAACAACACGAAAATTTACTTGATACTCACTCTGCTTATTTCGTTTTTATCTCATTATGCAGACATAATGAATAATCCTTCTTTCAGAAATTCGAAGAGTAGTTTGTTAATACACTTTGTGACCCAACTGCTTAACTCATAAAGTGAGTTCTGACTGAGGTTCTAGGTGATGTAGTAAACATTCCACACATCAATTCAGTGGAGCCCACACCATTGCCATCACCTTTCCATTATTACCACTGCATCACCACCCAAGTTGGAGGAATAGAAGCTAGGGAAAGGTGACAAAGACAGGGCACGGAAAGGTAACAATGATAACGAAGGAACTGAAAATGAGTCCTTTCAGGTAAACTTCATTTTTACTGAGTAACAAATGTAATCAATGAACAATTATATTTGCAATATTCTTTTACCTTCACTTTCTTTTTTTTTAAAATATATTTTATTGATTTTTTTACAGAGAGGAAGGGAGAGGGATAGAGAGATAGAAACACCGATGAGAGAGAAACATCAATCAGCTGCCTCCTGCACACTCCCTACTGGGGATGTGCCCGCAACCAAGGTATATGCCCTTGACCAGAATCAAACCTGGGACCCTTGAGTCTGCAGGCTGACGCTCTATCCACTGAGCCAAACCGGTTAGGGCTACCTTCACTTTCTTAGTAATCAAATAAACCTAGGCTCCCTGTTAGACTGTGTACATGAAACAGGGATATCTTCCTTTGATTACCTCATGCAAAACAGGGCTTCCATTCCTCTCTGTACTCTGAACCTATATTTTTCAAAACAGTACTTACCTCTATCTGATATATGTTTACATGTATCCTTTATTTATTTTCTGTCTCTCATATCAGAATATGAGCATCTTCTCAGTCCATGCCTATTTTGTTCACTCCTGTACCCTCAGAAAAGAAAACAGTACCTGGAATATTGCAGACACTCAAGAAATTGTTGAATGAATGAATGAACATATAAATGACACATTATATTCTAAGAATGACTCCATGTGAGAGATAAACGTATAATGGCTATCCTTTATATGCTGAAAAATAAAGTTCTGATATAAAAGTTTGAGTTGAGGTAAAAAAAATATTAGGGCCTGGCTGGCATGGCTCAGTGGTTGAGTGTCAGCCTATGAACCAGGTGGTCACGGTTCAATTCCTGGTCAGGGTACATGCCCAGGTTGCAGGTTCAATCCCTCGTGGGGGGTGTGCAGGAAGCAGCCAATCAATGATTCTCTCTCATCATTGATGTTTCTATCTCTCTCTCCCTCTTCCTTCCGCTCTAAAATCAATAAAAATACATTTTTTTTAATAGTATTAGGCCCTAGCTGGTTTGGCTCAGTGGATAGAGCGTCGGCCTGCGGACTCAAGGGTCCCAGGTTTGATTCTGGTCAAGGGCATGTACCTTGGTTGTGAGCACATCCCCAGTAGGGATGCAGGAGGCGGCAGCTGATCGATTTGATGTTTCTCTCTCATTGATGTTTCTAACTCTCTATCCCTCTCCCTTCCTCTCTGTAAAAAACCAATAAAATATATTTTAAAAAAATAATATTAGGATGCCTTATATATTGCTCCAGCAGTTCATCAAGGCTCAGGAAAAAAAAAAAATGGTATCATTTACTTGCATATCACCAAATAATAGCAATTAAAATCTTTAATATACATTTTGGTCAGAAGAGCTTAAAAGCTTGCCAGCTTCCATTCTCTTCCCCTGCTTCTCTACTTACCTTTCCATTTCCTTTGCTAGGTCTTTTCCCTGCTGCTATGAACTGGTATTTCCCTGGGATTTATTTTGGACATCTTCCTGATTTCTCTCAATTGTGAGTTTTTCTAGGTCAGCTTCTCATGTCTCCTAATGCCATTCCTGGCTAGATCTAGGGTTGGGCCACTGGTAGGTACTGTCATGGGACAGTCCTAAGCTCCACCTGACCTGTTTAATCCTTTGTATGATCATCTGGACAGCACTTCAAATCTTGCCCCTGTAGCTTCAAAGGCAGGGCACAAGCCGTCTGTGCATCTTCTGTACCATGCACAGTAGCTGGTAGTGATTAAAGAAGTGAATGGATGCTGATCAAATTTGTTGATGAGACTGAAGTATTTGAGTAATATAATTTGGGGATTGGCTTTAAATTTCTCCAGAAAATTAAAGAAATAGAATAAAATAAAATAAAGTGGAGGAGGACTCAGATAAAATAAGTGAAAAAACATTGATAATGGTTAAAACTGGTGATGGGTATATGGGAGCTTATTTTATTCTTCTCTCAATTTTCATGTAATTTTAAAATTTTCCATAAAAATTTTCCATTGATTAGGCAGAGCCAGGGAGGCTCACTAATATGCTGGTATTTCTACTTTGTATCCTTCTGCATTGAACTTAAAAAATGATTATGCATTGCTTTTATTAAATGTTTAAAATATATTCCTAGCCCTAACTGGTTTGGCTCAGTGGATAGAGCATCAGCCTGCGGATTGAAAGGCCCCAGGTTCGATTCCGGTCAAGGGCATGTACCTTGGTTGAGGGCACATCCCCAGTAGGAGGTGTGCAGGAGGCTGCTGATCGATGTTTCTCTCTCATTGAGGTTTCTAAATATCTATCCCTCACCCTTCCTCCCTGTAAAAAAAATCAAATATATATATATATATATATATATTTCTATTGACTTCAGAGAGGAAGGGAGAGAAAGATAGAAACGTCAATGATGTGAGAGAATCCTCCATTGGCTGTCTCCTGCATGCCCTCTTATTGGGGATCAAACCTGCAACCCGGGCATGTGCCCTGACCAGGAATCCAACCGTGACCTCCTGGTTCATGGGTTGATGCTCAACCACTGAGCCACGTCCGTCGGGCGAATGGGTGGTTCTTAAAAGAAAAATAAACAAGTTGTTACCACATTAGGGAGGACTAGATACTGGGAAGGCAACACAATGGCAACCAAGTTCCCAGACCTCATCACTCCCTGCTGTGTGCACCCCTACTGGGGATGTGCCCACAACCAAGGTACATGCCCTTGACTGGAATCGAACCTGGGACCCTTGAGTCTGCAGGCCGATGCTCTATCCACTGAGCCAAACAGGTTAGGGCTCATTTCTTTTTTTAGCATATCATTTAAAAAATATATTTTTATTGATTTGAGAGCAAGAGAGAGAGAGAGAGAGAGGTGAGAAACATGGATTGGCTACCTCCTGCTGCATGTTCCCTATTGGGGAATGAACCAGCAACCCAGACATGTGCTCCGACTGGGAATCAAACCAGCGACCTTTCACTGCATGGGAGGATCCTCAACCAACTGAGCCACACCAGCCAGAGCTAAATGGGCTCATTTCTTATCTCAGCCATCAACATTCTTAAATACCTGTTATGATGCCTAGAATGCTTTAAGTCCCTATGGGCTCCAGGCATTATTTTTGTAGGCCCTACCCTTCATCATATCTAATACATTAAATGTACTCATATCAAATATAATTTATGTATGAATTGAGTTGAAGTTATCTAATTTTCAAAATGCCACATTTCATAAGCATTTAAAGCTACTATCTTTGATGTTTCAGATTTTAAAATATTTTATAACCAAAGCATTTTTTTTTCAGGTCTCTAACATTTCCATAGGCCCTTGCAAAGATTCCATGTCCTAGGAATTGTGCATAAAATGGATAAAAATGTCCCCATGTGCTGAATACTGTTCTAGGTGCTTCTGATAGGAAGGTGTCAGCTCTCCAGAAATTTATCATCCAGCTCCACAGCTTTCTTTCCTTTTCTCAGCCCGTACCTCTTTCCCATTGTGTTCCTAAACAATTCTGTTCTTACCATCAGTCTGGTTTTGGCATCTCCCATTCATTTTTTTGCAAACCCTTTAATTAGGACAAAAGTGTTTTTAAGCAAGACAAAATAGAGTATGAAAGTAAGTATGCTCATATTTTGAAATCAAATTCCTAAGTCTTAAGTACGTACCTCCAGATGCCTGGGATTAAATATTGTGCTGATTTCTCTGAGTATTTGTTCTTAGATGTCAAGCTGACTTTGTGGAGATTTTGCCTAATTTTATTCAGTCGCACACAGGTCAATCACCAATTTATTCAATATTTCCTATGAGTGTGGTTTGTTTTTTTTTGTTTTTTTTTTGGAAATCACAGAAAGATGCATCAATATTCAATTCTAGGTCTAGATAAAATCATGAGGAACCAAAGTAAATTGCAAAGATAAGGGTCTGCATCATTCCTGGCACATAAATATCTTTCCTCCTGCTTGCAGAATATTTTGGAGAGTGATGAAATGGAATATGAAAAAATACGATTCAGAAGAGGAATTCCTAGTGTTATGGAGAAGAAAGCATTTTAGAAGGAAGGAGGAAAGACCATCATGTTATGCTGCAGACCAGCAAGAGCAGCAGCTCCGCGATCAAGTGATCACAATCCCCTGTTCCATATGCAAGAAGGAAATTGACCTAACTGGATTTTTCCTACACAAAAGGCAACATGAAGCTCTAGCCGCACTGGGTCTTGAATGGAAGAGTGGAATTAAACCAACACGCTCAGCGATTTCTAGTAAGAGAAAGTTTACCATTACTAAACTACTGACATCTTCTACATATTCTGAAAAAGGCCTAGACAGCATGAATAATGCTTTAGAACTACTTTGGAAGAAACAAATACCAGCGTACTATAAGATTATGGACAACATTCCCAACAGTTCCATCTATTCACAAAAAATCCGCCATCTATTAATTAAAGGAGCAGCCATTTGCAATGACAAGAATTCTACGTGGAAAGTGCACATGAATGATAAATTTACTGTCGTGAATCATTTTGGCAGTAAACCGAATGTGTGTTTCTTCGGTTTGTTTGATGGGCATCATGGTCCATCAGCAGCAGACTTCACATCCAAGGAACTCCCCGTTTTACTTCTCCATCAGCTTTCCGGATTTGATCCATCCTACCAAATGACCCCCAAAGAGCAAAAATTAATCAATTCCTTCCAGACAGTGTTTAGGGAAGAGTACATCGCTCTAGAAAGCCTCTTCTCTGTAAGCAAACAAACAACAGAATCATGGTGTGAGCATGAGAGCATACACAAAGCCTTTGCCAAAGCATTTTGGAGAATGGATAGGCTTTTACGTCTTGGAAGGCAAGAAGTATCCAGGGTTCGATGGAGTGGCTGTTCTGCAATTGCCTGTATATTGGAAGGCAAAATCACAAGTTCCCATGACGAGAAGAATCAGAGACCCACTGACCATGATGGTTTGCCAGAGAAGTTACCTTCTCAGAACTTGCCACAAATAATTTCTGGAGAACTACATATTGCATACACTGGTAGGTACACTGAAGTGCCAGGTTATACCTTAACCTTTTTTTTTTTTTTTTAATTCCTGGCAGCAAGACCTCTTATGCTTCCAGAATTATTTTAGTGACTTATTAATGCCTAATATTGCATTGACCAATTAAGAAATGACCAATAACCAGTTTAAATGCAGATGACAGGCACACAAATCATTGTAATTCTTTTCTGTTTATTTTTTAAATATATTAATATTGATTTCACAGAGGAAGGGAGAGGGAGAAATAGACGTATCAGTGATGAGAGGGAATGGTTGATTGGCTGCTTTCTGCATGTCTCACACTGGGGATCAAGCCTGCAACCTAGGTATGTGCCCTGACTGGGAATCGAATCATGACTTCCTGGTTCATAGGTCAATGCTCAACCACTGAGCCACACCGGTTGTGCACTTGTAATTCTTTTCCAAGGAGGCACATATATGAAATAATGTCACCAAAACGTTAAACTTTCTAAGTGGGCAGCAATACAGCAGTTAATAAAGGCAAAGCAAATACATTACATTTGTTAAGTTCTGAGTGAAACAAAAAACGTTTCTCACACTCCTTTTTCAGAAGAATGGAAAATACTTTGACTATTGTTAGTATAATTGTTCAGTTGGTATATTGGTCATTTATTCTGATAACTAATACATTTGCAATAGGCCACTCCTGTGCTCACTGGCCAAGTAGCATCCATTTCATCTCAGAGAAAACAATAGTGCATGCCTCAATTTTATGGCATGTTTTCTCAAATATTTACTGTATTCTTTTACTTTTATTTCAGGAAGCCATTCTTTTGACATTTGGTGCTAAAGTTCCAGTTTAGGAGCTTGCCGAAAGGAAAAGCACAGGAGTAAAACCATTTTAGTGAAGTGAATCTGAATTACAATGCAGTTTCATGAGATGTTCAGGATTCCATCACCCCATTCATGGATATAATTATTATTGATAGAGTCTGCTTGTTAAATACTAAAGAATTTCTCATTTAGCCTTACAAAACCCTGATATCTAACTGCTGGTTTTTTTTTATTTAAAAATATATTTGATGACCCTGTGGTTTGGCTCAGTGGATAGAGCATCGGCCTGCGTGTGGACTGAAGGGTCCAGGTTTGATTCCGGTCAAGGGCACATGCCCAGGTTTCGGGCTCCATCCCCAGCAGGGGGCGTGCAGGAGGCAACCAATCAATGATTCTCATCATTGACGTTTCTCTCTATCCCTATATTTAACAAACAAACAAACAAACAAACAAACAAAAAACACATCTAAATGCACAGCATTTAAAAAAATATATTTGCCCTGGCTGGTTTGGTTCAGTGGATAGAGCGTTGGCTTGTGGACTGAAGGGTCCTGGGTTTGATTTCAGTCAAGGGCACATGCCGGGATTGCAGGCTCGATCCCCAATGGGTGGCATGCAGGAGGCAGCCAATCAATGATGCTCTCTCATCATTGTTGTTTCTCTTCCCTCTCCCTTCCTCTGTGAAATCAATAAAAATATATTAAAATATATATTTGATGTATAACATTGGTGCAAATTTAAGGTATATAATATGTTAATGTGGTACACTTATATATTGTAATATGGTTGCCATTGTAGCAATAATTAACACCTGTGTCACATTGCATAACTATTTCTTTTTAGTGGTTGGAATAATTAAGGTCTAGTCTCTCAACGAGTCTGATGACTATAATGCAATACTGTTTTCTCCATTCCCTATACTGTGCATTAGATCTCTAGGACTTATTTACCACTCGTTCCAAGTTTGTACCCTTAAGTATCTGTTCTTTCCCCCACCCCCTATATCTAAGTTTTGTTAACCCACTTGTCCAGATGAGAAAATGGAAGCTTGGCGAAGTGAGGTCTCAGAGGTAATAGAATGGAAATAATTCTGCCTCTGGAGGGGATTGCTTCCAGAGGCTGAGGAGGCTGGACCTCAGCGACAGAGATGGCTCTGAACTAGGGCCAGATAATCACAAAGACCATTACAATGTCAAGGTCCTGGAAGTCAGCCTGTTTCTGATCTAGTGCTGGTTCTGAGCCCCAAATGAGGAGAACTCCAGATTAAGCAACACCAAGAACCAAGTGCAGTGCCAATTTCCTCGAAGTCATTGTCATTTCTCAGGCTCTACCCCGAGATTCCAAAGTGCTTCAGAGTAGGCCTCCTTCATTGGGCAGAGAGTTTTTAGATTTCAGATCCAAGTGAGAACTGTCCCATATTCCTGGACTTGGGACCTTTATTAGAAAATATCATTAGATATCAGGGTTCTTGCAAAATTAAAGGAAAAATTAAGAGATAGTCAAGTAGATAAGATCATTAAATGTCTAGTTTACTATATGGCTAATTTTGAGGCTTATATATAATTGTGTTACACTGTTTTACTTAGGCATCCCTGATTTTAACAGAAACAAAAACGTAGGAAAAACATTCAACTTGTGAAAGGGAGGTCATGACTTACACTACAGAAGTGTTCCTAAAAGAACATAATTGATAAAAAATTTATTCTGCATCAAGGTGTCTGGAAAGGAGATAATTTAAATGGACTATAAAAAAATAAATGTTCACATAAATTTATTAAGAACATATTTTTTATTTTATAAAACAAGATCTACAATTGTAGCAAGGGAATTCATTTTCCTTGTTTGAAATTAGTAAAATACCAGTGTCATCACAACTCTGGAATTAAAATAAAAACACCTTACTTTATAATGAAACGTGAGGGCAATGATGAAGCCATTAAATAACTGATTTTGTACGTGTGAAAAAAGATACTTCCCAACCGATATTCCTGATTTTTTTATTCTTATCACTTCTCATTTATAATTCATTTTATAATTTTTCTTGATGCTTTTAAAATTTACTTTATTCCTCATAGGTTTATGAAGTATTTCAAGATCAGCTTATCAATTTCCCAAAAATACCTACCTGATATTTTGAGATTGTGTTGATTCTGCACAATTTGAGTATTGTCATTTTATCAATATATATTATATGCAACATCTTTTTTTGTTTAAGCATTCAACTATTTTTAAAATAGATTTCAGTAAGACAAATCGATATACCAGGTGTCCCCAAGAATGTATACACACTTTGAATAATTATAAAGACAGTGTTTATTAAAATACATTTCATTTTCAAAATGAAATAGAATCAGCTGTTAAAGTGTGTATACATTTTTGGGGGGACACCCTGTGTTTTAGATTCCTTCTGCTTGAAAAACTTTTTAAAAAATTTATATTTTTATTGATTTCAGAGAAAGGAGAGGGAGAAACTGAAATATCAGTGCATGCCCCACACTGGGGATCAAGCCCGAAACCTGGGTATGTGCCCTGACTGGGAATCAAACCATGACCTCCTGGTTCATAGGTTGACACTCAATCACTGATCCACGCCGGCTGGGCCTGCTTGAAAAACTTTTAATAGTTTTTGTAATGTCTTCTGGTGATAAATTCTAAGACTCTATTTACATTTTTGTTTTTCAAAGATGTATTTATTTGGCATAGAATTCTAGATTGACAGGTTTTTTTCTTTTCAGTGTTACAACTAGGGATTATTTTTTTTTTCACTGTCTTCTGGCTTACATCTCCTCCCCCCCCCCCCCTTTTTTTTTTTTGCTGTGAAGGTATTTTATTTTTTCTGTGTCTGAGTCTTCTTTCTTTTTTCTTAACTCCTTCACCTTTTTCACCCAGACTCCCAACCCACCTCCTCTCTGATAGCTATATGTTGCTGGTTTATTATGTTCATTATATCCCACATATAAGTGAAATCACATGGTAGTTGTCTTTATCTGACTGGGTTATTTCACTTAGCATAATACTCTCCAGGTCCCTCATCCATAAAAGGTAAGCTTTCCTTCTTCTTTATGGCTGAATAGTATTTCATTCTGTAAATGTACCACAGCTTTTTTATCCACTCATCTACTGATGGGCACTTGGTCTGTTTCAAAATCTTGGCTATTGTAAATAAAGCTGCAGTGAACATAGGGGTGCATATATTCTTTTGAATTGTTTCAGGTTCTTTGGATATATTCCCAGGAGTGGAATTGCTGGGTCTTTATGGCTTGCATTATTTATGAGAAATCTTCTATTATCACCATTCCTGTCTATATATCTTTCCCTTCCCTGCCTGATGGTTTAAAGGTTTTATCATTGGTTTTAAGCAAAATTGTAATGTACCTCAAATTTTTTCTCCTTAGTTTTCTCCTCTCCTTAAGGAACTTCAAGTATGTACTTTAGGCCAATTGAAATTGTCCAAAATCTCCATAATGTTCTTTAGATTTTATTAGTTTTCAAAATCACCATTTTCTTCTTCTGCAACATCTAATTTGCCATTAATCATATCCATTGTATTTTTTAATATATATTTTTAGTGATTTCAGAGAGGAAGGGAGAGGGAGAGGTATCAAGGATGAGAATCACTGATCAGCTGCCTTCTGCACACACCCCCACACCAGGGAATCGAGCCCGCAACCCGGGCATGTGCCCTTGACTGGAATTGAACCCCAGGACCCTTCAGTCTGCATGCTGACGCTCTATCTACTGAGCCAACGCAGCTAGGGATATTTTTCCATTGATTTTTAGAGTGAAAAAGAGAGATAAAGACTGAGAGAAATATCGATGTAACACATCGATTGGTTGCCTCCTGCACATGCTCTGACCAGGGCCCGGCTCAGGAGCCTGCAACTGAGATATGTGCCCTTAAGCCAATGGTTCTCAACCTTGGCTGCACATTAGAATCACCTGGGAATCTTTTTAAAATCCTGATTTCTGGGCCTCATCCTCCGGAAATTCTGTTGCTTTGTTGCTAATGTTGTGGCCCCACCCCATAACAAAGAATTTCTGGAGGATGAGGCCCAGAAATCAGGATTTAAAAAAGATTCCCTGGTGATTCTAATGTGCAGCCAAGGTTGAGAAGTGTTGCCTTAAGCAGAACTTTGGTCCTCAGGCCAACGCTCTATCCACCGAGCCAAACTGACTAGGGTGTATTTTTCATTTTTAACATTGTATTTTTATTTATTTAATCTTCACCCAATATGTTTTTATTGATTTTAAAGAGGAAGAGAAATATCAATATGAGAGAAACATCAATTGGCTGCCTCTCTCAAACTGGAAATTGAACCCACAATTTGGGTACGTGCCCTGACTAGGAATTGAACCCGCCACCTTTCAGGGTACAGAATGACACTCCAACCAACTGAGCCACACTGGCCAGGGCTAACATTTTATTTTTCATCTTTACAAGTTGCATTTAAAAAATTACCTTCCATGTCTGTACTCAACTTTTTATTTTATTTTTTAATATATTTTATTGATTTTTTACAGAGAGGAAGGGAGAGGGATAGAGAGTTAGAAACATCGATGAGAAATAAACATCTATCAGCTGCCTCTTGCACACCCCCTACTGGGGATGTGCCTGCAACCAAGGTACATGCCCTTGACCGGAATCGAACCTAGGACCTTTCAGTCTGCAGGCTGACGCTCTATCCACTGAGCCAAACCGGTTAGGGTTGTACTTAACTTTTTAAACATATGGTATTGTTATAACTTTTAATGTTCTTGTCTACTAATCCCAACATCTGTGTCAGTTGTTTTATTTTTTTTTAAATTGTGGGTAGTTTTTTTCTGCTTATTTGCATGCCCCGTGATCTAGTTTCCTATCACAAGTTCTGGAGTCCAGAAACCTAAAATTAAGGTGTTGACAAGCCACACTTCCTCTGAAGCCTCTAAGGCAGCGGTTCTCAACCTGTGGGTCGAGACCCCTTTGGGGGTTGAACGACCCTTTCACAGGGGTCACCTAAGATCATCGGAAAACACATATATAATTACATATTCTTTTTGTGATTAATCACTATACTTTAATTATGTTCAATTTGTAACAATGAAATTGGGGGTCACCACAACATGAGGAACTGTATTAAAGGGTCGCGGCATTAGGAAGGTTGAGAACCACTGCTCTAAGGGAAAATGCTTGCCTCTTTCAGCTTCTAGTGGCTAGAGGCACTGCTTGGCCCAAGGCTGCAAAACTCCAATCTTTGCTTCCATTTTCCCATGGCCTTTTACTCTTCTGGTATCTTATAAGGATACTGTTCTTTGGATTTAGGACCAACTTGGTGGTGGGTCACATACATACAAACCTGATTCTGAGAACACATCCAACAAATACTTGACAGATAGTTGACTGATGTGTAAAATATTATCTCGCTCCAGCTTTACAATGGTGAACATGAGTTTCATGCACACACATTTTACATAATGAAGCAGGGGACCTTTCGAATACCCAGGGAAAAGCAGCTCCACATCATGATGTCCTCCCATATAAATTCAGCCTCTTTGGCCAAAATTAAGAGTCCTTAACAAAAACTAGACATAGATTGTTTCCCTAACATCATTTACATGCACTTCTGTTATGCTTCCATTTTAGGTATACTTCATGTGTTTCAATTTCCTTAGCTTATGCTATTTTTCAATTGCTTTTTCTTTTCCCAATAACTATTTCTTCATTTCCCGTTATTGCTCCCTATTCCCTTAAGCCTATAATTCTATTTCATAAGAGACTTTCTTGCAATTTTTAAATAAATGGTTCTGACATGTAGCTTCATCTCAATTTTTTTTGGATAGGCTCTTTGTGTTCTGTGAAGAGGAAAGCAGGCAAAGGAAAAACCTTTATCAAGTGTCTACTTATTAAAAGTACCTTCTTACCCTAGCTGGTATAGCTTAGTGGATAGAGTATCAGCCTTCAAACTGAAGGGTCCCAGGTTCGATTCCCATCAAGGGCACATGTCTGGGTTGCAGGCTCCTTCCCCAGTAGGGGGCGTGCAGGAGTGAGCCAATCAGATTCTTTCTCGTTGTTTCTCTCTCCCTCTCCTTTCCTCTCTGAAATATCTATATATACGTACCTTCTTAAATCCTCACAATAGCATTGACAAAAAACTGCAGGTGGAAAACTGTTAGCTAAATAAAGTGACTTAATGAATGTCACACAAAGTGGGACTCCAGTTTAAGTGTGTCAGGCTCCCAAGTCTTTCCACTTCCCCCTGCTGTTTCTTCTAAACAAGCCATCTTTTTATCCCAGGGCACTGCGACATCCTAGGTATGTTTCCTTTTCTTACCAATACCTTTTCTTCCTCTTTTCTCCAGTTCTTCCTTAACTCTCCTGTTATCTTCAACAGTAAGTAGCCTTGCTGGCTTTATCTGAAAAATATCTTGATCTTGACCATTCAGATATAGAATTCCTTTTGGAATTCCAAGGTCACTCTGAGTTTACAGAAATTCTTTTCCTTTTCACAAGTCAGAGATAACCCTGCAATTGCGGGAGGCAGTTACATCACGGCCCTCTATCTATGGAATACCTTGCCTGATTATACAAGATATCTTAAAAAGGCTTAAGTAACATCTCAAAGCAGTTCTTCTTAATCCCTATATGATTAATCCCCCTAAACACGATGCTCTCCCAGTAATCCTGTTCCATTTTTGTTCCGATAACATTTTCTGAATGGCACAATCTCTCCAGCTACTAAAAAATTATCTTTATGTCTAAGACTTTGAATTCTTATTTATAATCAGATTCATTAAAATTTTTGTGTCAGTCTTCATTATATTCACTGCTAATTCTCATATCCTTCAATGTTACAGGGCCTTTTCTTGAAAGCCAATCTGTCCCCCCTTTTATACTGTCATGACTTGCTTCTCTCTTCCTTCAGTTTTGCAGATACATGGACATACAGTGCTATTTTAAAATCTTCCTCATTTTCCATCTTCCTTGGGGCTTTTTGTTGATTATTCTATTCTTTTAGCTTTAACAGTCAACTGCTTTCAACAACCCCATTTGCAGCTGACAGCATATGCAACCTAAGGTCCAGGAAATAAAACAATTAATCCTGCACACCTAAGTAGAAAAATTAGCAGCAAAGACATGTTAATATAAAATATTAATAAACCCTACTACAAAATATAAGAGGTCCTGCTATTAGGATTATCATTTATACAGTTCTTAGGTTTCTAAAACATTTTCCATATACATCTTCATCTTTTGGACCCATTAACTCAAGATATTTTAACAATTCCCATTATGTAAACGAGGCAATAAGCTCAGTCTATGCCAGATACCAATTCTTCACTAACTTATACTCTGTCCAATCATACTAGATTGTGGATTCATTTCTCTCTCCCTTCCCTCTAAAATCAGCTAAAAACATATTCTCAGGTGAGAATTAAAAAAAAAAATTAAAAAAAAAAAAGAATTACACTCGAACCCCTGTAGCAACAAAGTTCTGATTTCAGCTCCATGTATGAAATCAGAATATCCTATTGTAGATTTTCATTATTCCAGGAATTCATTCTCAAAACAGTATTGGTAATACAACCATCCCTCTATCTGTTTAGTGCACTGTTTATTTTCTTAAGATTTCAATGGTGCACACATAACAGGTTCATCTGAATGATGAACAAACTATAATCAACTTTTAGGATTTCAGTTTACAATCGAAGGGTTTAATTTCATGTTGACTATTATCCATTTAATACATTAATAACACATATTTTTTTCTTCATAAGGCTGTGATTTAATTTCTTTTTAGCCACACACATCAGGATCCTAACAAGACTGACATTAACAGTCATATTCTAATTTTTTTCATCACCCATACCTACCTGTATTTTAGTTTTTAACATTACTAGTTATAAAATCAGCAAATTCCACTTTTAAAAAAAAATCAAAATTTGTTTTTAAACAAAAGGCATTTATTTAAACATTTAGAAATGTCTGCTCTATGGAATATATATTGGTTATAAAAAAGTTCAACTTTTGGCTCTACAAAGTAAGTAACATTTGGAAGTGGTTTCATAAAACATTTGATTTTTCAGAGTCTGTAATTTTAGTTTTTTAAATACTAAATGCAGTATTTTAACACTAAATTGCTTTAAAAGTAGGAATAAACTGGCCTCTCAGTTTGAATGATTGTAAATCATCCAAAGATACCAATTTATACATTTAAAAATACTTTAAAATGGCTTACTTTGTTTATGCATCGAAACACAGAATTACTAAAGTGAACAGCATACTTTGATACAGTTGGTTATTAAGTCTCTAGGATCAACTTTCTCTAATAATCTTTTAGGTAATGTACAAGCAGTCTTATGCAGAAATGGGAAAGGCTTTCGCCTAACCAAAGAACACACTCTGAGAAGCAGAAAGGAAAAAAGAAGAGTACTTCAGAATGGAGCGGTAGTTAGTTCAAACGAACCATATGGACTCCTAGAAGGGCAAATAAAAACCACAAGAGGACTTGGATTTCATGGAAATCCCAAACTGAAAAAATTCATTATCCCGGTACCTCAAACTATGTCTGTCCCTATAGATGACTTATGTCAATTCCTTATCTTAGCTACTAATGGACTCTGGGAAGTTCTGGATAAAAAGGAAGTCACTGCATTGGCAATAACAATGTTTCAAATGTATGAAGATACATACTCTTTAAACATCCAAAAAAAATCACCATCCAAAAAGCCTCTGTTATTCCCAATCAATGAATCAAACGCTACTGAATCAAAAAGTAATACCCACACATTGTTTCAGCGTAAATCTGAAGAATGTGTGTCAAGTACAAATTCAAAAGAAAATTTGCCTGATGTAAAATATTCTAAATATTTCACTCGTGGTCCTAAAAATACACAAACATTTCTACCAGAAATGACTAATTGTGATACTTGCAGTGAGAAAGCAACTGACAGGCCAACCCATGTAGACAGTGTGCCAAAAGATTCAAGTGGAAAAGAAAGAATATGCACCAAGGATTTCTATGAAGCGGCAGCTGAGTATATCAGCCATGGACTTGTACATGCTGCTTTAGTGGCTGGCTCCAGAGACAACATTACAGTTATGGTAATACTTCTCAATGGAAGTGAATGTCATTTTCTGAAATGAAAGATAAAGTTCTGATTATCCAGAATACAAAAATATGAAGACTCTTCTACTCTTCAATGAACCAGATATTAGGATAATACATCAATACCACACAAATCATTTTTAAGAATGTAGTAAAGAAAACATAAAGGCAGATTTTTGAGTTATATAATACCATTTATATATGTTCACTGCTCCATTGAAAAAAAGGAGAAAAACCAGTACTTGCTTTTTATACCACTTTATTCCAACCTGAGCACCTCAATATAAAACTAAACACTGGTGAACTGTTTTCCTTACTAATTTTGAATTACTGTAAATGTACAAGTTCTGCTAGCAGTTCAACACTTAAATAGATTAAAATCATCTCTGACACATGGTAGATTTCATATAATGAAAATACCTAAAACAATTAGTGCAATATACTGAATTGATCAAAATAAACAAACTTTGGAAAATAAGGCTGCAAGATTATTACTAACATATCGCAATACTTATGCTACAAATTACTGGTACATTGGTTATTACGGTTCTGAAGCCCCTTCCTTTGAAAGGGGGCAAGAAGGAAAAAATTAGCTGTTTTAGTAACTGTACATTTTGTATGCTTTTAAGCAACTCTTAAATATTACAGAAGAGGAACATATGAAGACTACAGTGCAGTACCCTATTTACAGTACAGCTGAAGATCGAATTTAAAATAATCAAGTCTGAATGTACATAATTGTTAGTGCATTGACTATATTATGCCCAAAGGGAACAAAGCCCTGGACCTCCATGCCCCTAAACAAAACTGATAAAATGGCCTGCAGTGATTAAACAGAAATCACAGACACCTGGTTTGTTTCACTTTTGTTGAAGAGCTCACCTTTGAAGGGAACACTACCCATTAAGATGCATTTTATCAGTTTTCATATTCCTAAAACAAGATGAGGTTACAATTGGCTTTTTTTTTTTACCCCATTTAAAAAAATAACAGGACTGGCTACAATTTAGATGCCACTACTGTTCATTCCACCCCCCCACCCCCACCCCATATGTGGGACTGTTTTTGTGTGGCTAATTTGTTTAAATGTGGAATGTACAATTTAAATACGGATACTAAGAGAAATTACTGGCTGCCTAAATACTATAGCTAAGCATAAATATCTTTAGAACCTTCTAAAAAAAAAAAAAAAGAGTGTTTCTGAAAGGCTCAAATTAAGTTCGAAATCTTTCTTAGAACTGGCTGGTTAACTGTGGGTTCAGATAGTCATTTGCCTATATCCCTGGTGATGAGAAATGATTCCCCCTAACCTTCCAAGGAAACAAGTATACACAGCTCTCATTTCCCCCTTCAACTGCTGAAACATTAGTTAGAGGGTCACATGCATGTCATTAAAAATTAAGTTCAAAACACTTAAAATAATTCTGTATTAGAAACTTGACTCTATCATAAGTCTCTTCTTTTTGGAAGTCATACTGAGCTGGTTAAATGCTCCAATTCCACGGTTATTACATTTAGGAAGCAGAAGACTATTCCAGCTAGTTCAAACTGGAGGCTTAGTTACTACAACACTGACTCCTGGTTGGCTGTGTGGGTTCAGTAAGGTCTACTCCTCTTCCCCTGGCAGAATTTGCTCCTGGATTCTGTGGTTCATTCTTTGGCAACTTTTTAGCTGAGAAATAAAGTATTAAAATAAAACACAATTAGAATATTCATACTAGAATATTAATCTGCTTAATGATAATCTTCCTTTCTAATTAGATTACCCCAAAGTGTCACATAACCATATGTTCATTCTTTTCAAATGTTTATTGAGTATCCACTAAGTATCAAAACATTAGTCACTCGGTCCTGATGGAGTTTAGTGAGTTGATGGAAGGATAAAATGGGGACCAGTTGCTGACACACAATTAAAACTTAATACTTCTTCCAAGAGCTGTCGTCCCACCCTTGGGGCCTCTGCTGGGAAAACGGAATCAAGTCTCAAACAATGCCTTTTTAATTGTATCTCTAGTATTATAGATGTAGGGCAGTACTGTATCACACCTCTGTGAATGTAAAATAGGGGGAGCTCTGCTCAGCCACAAGCCAGGCTGATGGCTGCCAGTACAGTGGTGGTGGTGGGAGCCTCTCCTGCCTCCTCAGCAGCGCTAAGGATGTCCGACTGCAGCTTAAGTCTGCTCCCCGCTGGCAAGTGGACATCCCCCGAGGGCTGCCGGGCTGCCAGAGGGATGTCTGATTGCCATCTTAGGCCCAATCCCCCGGGGAGCAGGCCTAA